ATTTAAAATCAATATCAGAGCTAGCAAACGCCCCAATTCGATTGAGTTTGAAATAACATAATCTTAACTTTATCGATATCGAAATCGATATCTTCGGTCCCCGCACTACGGTCATCAGTAGCTGGCCCGAGGCTATAAGTTGTAGACGTCGTTATTATAGTAAGAAATAGCCCGGATTTGCCCGGGGTGGGGGACCGGGTAACTGTGAAATGTTACAGACGAGCCGTTGACATTAAATGTTGTTAGTTTGTTCCTGTGTTCATTATTAGTAAAAAGGATGAAGTGTGGATATAATAGAAGCTGAAGAACAAAGAAATAGAAAATCAAATTCATAATTAGTAGTACGGTAAAAACAATTTTCTATTCTCTCCATCCTGCAATTGATACAACCGTGAATACACTGGAACACTAAAGTCCGGCGCGTCCCAGTGATATGAATGTCTTGGATCCCGCAATGAAATAAATCAGAAGATATTATTTGAGGAGACCAAAAAATGTTAAATAGTTTCCACTGCCTTTGATAAAGTTCATGCAGGTGACAGAATTATTTAAGCCTTTGATAATTAGGTAAGGCTGAATGATAAATCACACCTAATGGTTGGAAACTGCAAAACACCAGATTATCATAGTCATCGGCTTATAAATTCCCACTGCTGAACAAGCGCTTCTTCTCATATGTAGAGGATTTGAGAATAAATCACGGCTCAAGGTAGATTGGTGATTTCGTAGTTCTATCTAGAAATTAAAAGACCAGGTTTCTAAACGATCGCAAAAAAAGAGGCTAAGCTCTTGAGGGCCCTATCCTCCTCACGCCCCAGCGGTCGCAGTATGAAACACTCTAGGCGTTCAGAATCGCGCGACGATCTTCGACCGTGGTAGGTGCCGGACCGCGAGCAAGAGTTAGCCACCCGACCAGAACTAGACTTAGCCGAACAGAGATGTTGCTCAGTTAGAGTTGCGAGTCAAGGTCAAACTCAATAATTTGCCACCGTAAGCGCGGGTCTGCGGACGGTGAGTAGGGGTAGCTCATCGCCCGACCAGAACCAGACCCGAGCGTACGGCGCGTAGCGTTCCGCGCGCGCCTCAAAAAGCCAAAAGACCACCACAGACGGGGCCCTATAGGGCTGACGTTCAGCCGGGGTTGCGGGTTAAGCGCAACGAGTTACATTGCGGCCTCGGCCCAGAGAAGAGAGCTCAGAGCAAAAAAACAAGCTCAATAATTTACCGCGACCTCGTCCTGGAGCGGGAAAAGGAACGGGTTGGTTTTTAGTCAGTTAGAGTCAGACACTCCCTCTCGGGCAAGGGGCGAACCAGGGCGATTAGGTCATTGAACCCACACAATGAAAAAAAATTACATCACAATGTATTTCTTCTCCGTATGTAAGTGATATCTAAATAATCTTAGAAAATATTATTCAGTAAAAGAGATATTGGTGTTTGCTAAGCTTATATCCCGTATCCTCATGCATGAGAAGTAGGCGCTTTAACTAACGCTTTACAATATTTATAAAAAATAATAGCCAGGTGGAAATTGCGAATTTAAAGTCTCTTGTCTCATCTCTGTATAAGGGAATAACATACACATATCGTGGTGGCCCGGAGGTTAAAGAACCCGCTTCTCATGCATGAGGGTGTGGATTCGAAACCTGGCAAGTACCAATGTGACTTTTTCCAAGTTATAGTATGTACTTTCTATGATTATTTAGACACCACTGACATACAGTAAAGGTAAAAATCGTGAGGAAACCTGCACTTATAATTTCAAATTATAAGTTTGAAATCGCCAACCCGCATTAAGCAAGCGTGGTGATTAATGCTCTGACCTTCTCCGTGTGAGAAGAGGCCTTTGCTCAGCAGTGAGCACTTATAGGCTGATGATGATATTTTTATACTAAAAAAGACTATGAAGAGTTTATTTATTGCATAAGTAGGTACAAGAAAATATGAAAAACTTTTTTTTACTGGCACTAAAGTCGAAATTTCGGTACGGATAATTTAACTTGAATATTCCTTTTGTAGCTCATTTGCAAGTAGAACAATTTTATAAATATATATATAAAGGCAAGTTATTACACATTAAGTGACGGTGTTAAACCACTAAGGGGCTGTTTACCGTCTAAAGAGTTGTGAAGATAAGCTTTTCGAGGATCAGCTTTGGGGTAGACAGAGATGAGTGAGAAATGGAATGAGAGAAAAGATGTGTCTTTGCAGTTCAACGGGATTCTGCCAACAGTTTTTATCAAATGACAAATAGTTTATGTCTTATTCTAGACTCTAATCTACATATATCTGCGTAATGCATTAGATGTAATCAAGTAAATACTACATACCAAACAACAATAGTATTAGAAAAATATATTGATCGGTACCTACTAATCATCAAACGAATAATAGATTATTACTATCTCTTTCTCTCTCGATATTAATTTACACTATTATTGTTTTACTTGGCACCGAATTCAAGATTACATATATAAAATAGTTATTAAATATTTAACTAATTGAGAATATGCATTGTTTTGTACAAAGCAAGTTTCCAGACTCCTACTAACAAGCAGATAGTTAAACTGATGGTAAGCAATCAACGCTGCTCATGGATACCCGCAACACCAGTGAAGTTACGAATGCGTTGCCGTTTGTACGTAGGAATTGGGCCTCCGGTAACGGCGAAACATAATACTGTTGTTGTTTCACGCCTATTTTTTGTGAGGCCGTGGTATTACTCCGGTCGAGCCGACCCATTTGTGCCGAAGCATGGCTTTCCCAAGCTTAAAGTGTATATGATGACGTATAAAAAATGAGGACAAAAAAATAGGCTGCCAGCTGCCAGGTATGTAGGTACCTATATAAAACATTTTTAATTTATTATTTTCGTCCGTTTTACGGGGTCCGTCAAAAATTCATAGCTCGTATAGCAAGAACTAGGTACTTGTTTTTACAAAAGTGTCCGTAAAATTTTAATGTTGTTATAAAACTTTAAAACGTACTATAAATTGACTTTTTGTTTTGTTTTTTAAGTTTAAATGTTTGTGAAATGTAGAATAAAGGTTGATTTTTTTATTGACTGCACGGTTAGTCCGTTGGATGGGCAACATGCTGCCGAGAAAAGCGGGTTTGACTCGATTTCGACACTTTGTGTGATCCACAATTTGTTGTTCCGGGTCTGGTTGTTTTAAGTAAGTATGCGAAATGGTATGCTTTTATGTTATTATTTTATGTTATTTTTACATTGTCTGGACTTGAAAAGAGACTGACCTCTGAGTTTGTTTCAGCATTTCTTTTCAGAGTAGTCAGATAGGAAATGCCGGCTTCATCTAGTTTTTCACATATAAATTGACGTGTAAAAGTGCCGTTTTATGGCCTATTTGCAAAAATAAATTCATTGATTCATTGTTTCATTGTTGTTTCATTGTTTAAACACACCCAAAACACATGAGAAAATTCTAGAGTGGGGCAACGTACTTATTATAAAAAAATATTAGTTACATCAATCACCAATTCAGTTGCACTTTGCATGAAAAATGCAAAACATATATAGGTGTATCCACAGCAGCGGGCAATTTATCAATCAATGTTACATGTCTATCGAGGGGAACATCGCTTTGAATGTTTTTTACAATTTTCATTGAATTCTATGAATGAGTTTTCCACAGCTAAATATTTTGAGAAGTTTTGTTTTAGAGATGTCTGAGATGTGTGGAAGAGCGATGCTTTGGTACAACTTGGCTCGAGTGGATGTGATGAAAACGACCTTAAAGAAACAACTTGAAAACGGGTGACACCATTTTTTTTTCTGTTAGGGTAATATAATTTATTATTTTTTCCTGCCACTGCCGGGCCGCGAGAGTGTCTGACTCTTACTGACTGAAAACGACCCTTTTTCTACTGTTTTGGGCCGAGGCCGTGGCACATTATTGCGCTGAACTTCGGCCCAATAGACGCCCATCTGTAGTGGTCTAATAGCTCTTGGAGGTGTGTGTGCAACGCGACGCGCCATACGCTCGGGCGCTGGGGGCACTTAGTGGAGTTGCACTTATAATGGCCGGAGATCGTCGCACGATCTTCAACGCCGGCCTTCGAGAGCGTCTCTTGCGGCGGCTGGAGATCCAATTTTACCTGATCCCTCCCCCCAATCTTAAAATTTTTAATCCCTTAAAAGCCAGAGACGCACTTGTAACTTTTCAAATGCAACGAGTGTCGTGTGCGTTTTTTGCTTACCCTAAAGTGATTGAACCTAAAACACATTTGGGTATTAATAATCACTACATAGTATAAAGCAAAGTCGCTTTCTCTCTCCCCGTATACCTATGTACGCTTTTTTTGTGAGGGGAAAATAATCAAATGACTTCTCCCGCCCAGGGCCGAGCGGGAGGGAGTGTCAGACTCTTACTGACTAAAAACCCCCCTGTTCCTTCACCTGCTCTGGGCCAAGGTCGCATTGCCTCACCCGCAACCCCGGCCGAACATCAGCCCCGTCTGTGGTGGTCTATTGGCTCTTTGAGGCGCGCGCGAAACGCTGCGCGCCGTACACTCGGTCGGGCGGCGAGCTACCCTTTCTCGCCGTCCGCAGACCTGCGCTTACGGTGGCCGGAGATCGTCTCTCGATATCCCTATGTACGCTTAAATCTTTAAAACTAGTACTTTTTCTACTTTTTGTTATATATAGTGATTGAAGAGGAAGATTTACATGTACATATAACAACATCCATTTAACAGTAGAGAAATTTAGTATCAGCCTGGCACCCGTGCGAAGTCGGGGCTAGTCGTTAGTATTACAATAAGTATTATAATAACAAAAATATGTAAAAGGTACAAATATGATGAGAAAAACAATATAAGTATAATTATGAAGTTTTAATGTTTTTATATTATGCAAAAAAGGAAAGGGTTGTTTCATCAAAATAATACAAACTACTAACACTCCACAAAACTTAGAAAATACACTAACACTATAGAAAGGTCTAAAAAAATTAAATGAAAAAAAAAAGCAATGAATAACGCACTGTTCTTGCCAGAGCACTTACTACATTTGTGTGTACTTACTATACATATTTGTTAGTTTATTGTAACACACACACTTAAACAGTTCAGGTGTTTATAAAAAAGTTTCCTACGTGGTAAACCATAAGGTTGATATTCCTCGTTACAGCAGTAACACAGCTCCGTAGGTTGCAATAACTTCTTATCCTTGGCCAAGTAATTCTTTATCCGGTTTTAACCTAATAATTTTGAGGTCGGCAGAATGTCCGAGGTTGAATAATATGGTCTTTTACTGATTATTTTCACCGACAATAACTTCGGAAAATTTACAGTGATTTGCATCAATCCATTCAATTACTTTTTCCGCTTTTTTCAGTGCTATCTTTAGCACCTGAAGTGTCTGACACTGAGACTTACTAGAATCGTAAAGAGGCCATTGTACTTCTCGTGCGTATATATGCTGCAATTTAAATGGTTGCGAGGGTTTATATTCTGACTTCACTTTATACTCAAATTGGTAGTACTTTAATCTTATCAATTCGTTGAACGTTTTAGTTTGCTTAACATGTCCCATGCCGAAGATATCATAAAATGCATAAAGACTATCGGTACACATAACATCAGCATCCAGTTCGACGGCGTTCAACTTCATATAATGTTGTAAAATTGGGAAGTGGAATGTTAACCCATTGTGAGCGATCAGGCAAACTGGTTTCGGCAGGCGACTGATGAACAGTTTAATAAGGTCACAGCTGTTCTTGTCAAAAGGTGATAGCGTCTCCAGCAATGCGTTATTCAGTCTTGATAACTCTACACTCTCTACACTCATCTTCTTTTCCGGGTTAAAACAGAGTAATAGTCTGTTTTGCACTCGTGGCACATCGTATGGAGGCGTGTTCAGAAAATGGATTCGGTCCACCGCGACCATACTTAATTCAGTAATGCTAGGCACATCTTCCTTAAAACCCATTAAACCGGTTGTTTCCAAATCGAAAAAGACGTACGTTTTAATCAATTTTGATTTTGAACTGGCCATAGTTATAATTCAAATTAGACGGACGATAGATCAACGCTGTGAAGTTAAACAGACTGATTATTATTTATGCCGTTCGCGTTCGTGTTATATTGATAAGCGCAAAAAATTCCCCGAGCAATGACGTCAGTCATATGCACATCTTCTTCTATATAAAAATGGATCGCAAAATGTGTTGGTAAGCGCATAACTCAACAACGCCTGCACCAATTTTGCTAATTCTTTTTTTGTTGTGTTACTTATTGTCAGGAGAAGGTTCTTATCAAAGAAAATATTAGAAAAATAGAGGGGAAGATTAGGAAAAAGTTACCCAGTGATAGCAAAAAAGTTGGACCCGTGCAAAGCCAGGGCGTGCCGCTAGTAATATATACAAACATATTATTATGTTGATATGCACATATATTTATAGAATCAGGCGTTACTTTGCGGAAATCCATGACATTAAATGTTAGGGAAAATATTTAGTTTTAATTCCGCGACAAAAGAAGCTAAGCGATGGAGTTTTGTCAACTTGATGTAAAGTTTTGCCTGCTCAGCTATACCTGCCGACTTAAGATAATTTATAGAATCAGGCGTTACTTTGCGGAAATCCATGACATTAAATGTTAGGGAAAATATTTAGTTTTAATTTTTATGCACATATATGTATGTATATGTTGTTATTATCAGTATATGCCTGGCCGCAAAACCCTAATCTGTCTAATCTGAACGAATATTACCAATATCTTATCAGCAAATTGCAAAACACTTGAAACATTTATTTAATGCACGTAGTAGGTAATGCAGTGGTGCACATCAAAAGGAAGATAACGAGAGATAATACGAGTAACAATGTTCAGGTCTTAATAATATGATAATGTTGGAACAAATTAAAGATTTCACTGGATCTGGACTAGGACATGTCATGGTGGCCCAGAGATTAGCATAACGGTGCAAACCTGGCAAGTACCAATGTGACTTTTGCCAAATTATAGGTAACTTATAAGCTTATTTAGACACATTAACAGAGGGTAAAGGAAAACATAGAGCGGAGACTTAGACATATAATTTCTATAAGTTTGAAGTCACCAATCTGTCTTGAACAAGTGTGGTGATTAATGCTGCAACGACTTTAAATAGAAATCAAGGATATTACGTTTAAGTTTAACAATAAAATACATAACCTAATAACTAATTTTGAGGAAGGTGGACATGAAGGTAGAATGGTGGAAGAATTAACCATGCCACTGTTAGGTAGGGTAGGTAGGGTTTTTTTGTGAGGTGAAAATCAACAAATGACTTCTCCCGGCCACGGTCGGGTGGGAGTGATTGTCAGACTCTTACTGACTATAAACGCCCCCGTTCCTTCACCTGCTCTGGGCTGAGGCCGTGGTGACTCATTGCGCTTACCCCGCAACCCCGGCTGAACATCAGCCCTATAGGGTCCCATCTATGGTGGTCTATTGGCTCTTTGAGGCGCGCGCGAAACGCTACGTGCCGTACGCTCGGGTCTGGTTCTAATCGGGTGGCGAGCTAGCCTTACTAGCCGTCCGCAGACCCGCGCTTACGGTGGCCGGAGATCGTCTCTTGATCCCCGACGCCCGGAGTGTCGCCTGCTGCGGTGGCTGGGGCGTGAGAAGGAGTATAATCCTCACGCGGTCCACCTCCTTCTTTGCGAGCATAACTGCTTCACAGACAGCCCAAGCAGGGCACTTCGCCACCGTATGCTCTACCGTGTCCTTTGGGTGGTCCTCACAAAGACGACACTCGGGCGTTTCCTCTCGCTGGGTCCGAAACAGGAACCTACCGAAGCTGAGTGCAGAAGCAGAAGGTAAGGACGCCGTGGCATCTCTCAAGCCACTCCTCAAAGAGGGTTCTTACCGCTGCTATAATAGCGTGCTCGGCCCTCGGTTGCGACAGTCGTTGCTTTCACTTTGCCATGAGGTCTCGCAGGAGCTCATTCCGCCACGCACTAATTTGACGCGGCAGAGGATCCTCGCCACGGCGCCGCACGTCTGCGCACGCGCACAAAATGTAGACGCGTGCGAGTGTCTTCGCTTCCAGATCTTCACACTAGACAATAAACTTCAATGGGGTTCCCACATAAAGACGCTTTCGGGGAGACTAAGCTCTCCTGTTTTTGCAGTTAGACAGATAAGACAGCTCACAGACGTGAACACAGCAAGGCTTGTCTATTTTAGCTATTTTCACAGCATTATGTCGTACGGAATTTTGCTGTAGGGTCGAGCTGCGGAAGTAGAATCAATATTTATTCTACAAAAGCGGGCTACCGAGCGATATATAACTTGCCCACGAACGAATCTCTGAGAGAACTATTTAAAACGATAAATATCCTGACGGTGCCTTGTCAGTTTATATATGAAAATATTATGTATGTAAGGAAAAATTTGCAATTATTTGAAAAAAGAAGCGATAGACATAATTTTAATACAAGAGGCAAAGATAGGCTGGCTGTGCCACGATTCCGTCTGTCCAACGTACAGAAATCCTTTATGGGGTTCTGTGTAAATTGTTACAATAAAATTCCAAGTACTGTATTGAATCTTAACGAACGAAAATTTAAAACTTATATTAAACGCAAATTGTGTAGACAGGCATACTACAAACTTTCAGATTATATTGAGGATAAGAATGCCTGGCAGCGTGTTGAATCGGCTCCACTGGACAATACTCAAATATAGTCAGCAGTTAGGTAAAATTATCAAAAATAATGCATCCTTAATTTATATATCCAAAAAGTTTATATAGAAGCACTCTTAAAGATTGTGAGTACGCATATGTGAGCGCCATGTTCGAGACGACAAAGGAGTAAAATTTTATGATAGGTCCCCTCATTTGTTCTTTTTTTTTACAACTTGTCTCTGCATTGTTCTCACATAAGGGTACAATAAGGTATACTATAAATGTTATATTATTGAAATTGAAAAACATTTTTTTTTTAAAAAAAGATTAACGAATTGAGTTTCTTGCTCGTTCTTCTCCATTCGAATCTACAATTTGGAATGAGCACCTAGCTCACTGACGAACAGACTGACAGACTACTTCTCTATTTTGACGTTTCAAAAGTACCTATTTATGGTTTAGTTGGAATAAATGATTTTGATTTTGACTTTGAGATCCCACGGCGGTGATCTGGCAAGGAGGTTCGCCGCCTCCCTGGAGATCGTACGATATCCGCGGAATATCCGAATATCCATGACCCTCGCGGACGCGACCGGCACCCCCACAGTAGCCCTGTAGAGCGCAATGGATCGCACGATCGCCATATACAACCTCCGGCAAAGTGGTTGGCCCCCCACCCCAGGTTGGGAAGGAGCTGCTTGAGGGCGGCCCCAGTCCTTTCCAAGCCAAACTTTGGAACTCGAGACGATAGTTTTGATACCAAAAATCTGCAGGAAGTCACTATTCCATGCAAACGGAGTCGCGGGCAAAAGCTAGTACTTACAAAATAAATGCGCAAACTGTGCGATTTATGCAGTAGTTCTCAAGTATAATGTATGTTAATTTATATCCATACTTAATCCTAAGTTAATGTGGTTCACAAATCTTCTAGCCAGGTATTTCTTGCATGTGTAAATGGAAACCAGTAACAGTGTACTTCTCCATTGTTGTGTTAAACTTAATTGTAATCGAAAATAAGGCTACGCATATCGTAAGGTTAAGATTTAAAAGAAGAACTATTTGTATTTTATTTTATATCTCAAAAAATACTGAGACTTTTCTAAGAAACTACAATTTTCTCCTGTGTACTGAGTGCGTTTATAAACATACAATTTCACATTAATATGTACAAAGAGTTGCTTCGTGCGAGTATCGAACCCACGGCACGTGGCACTGCAGCCGATTGTCCAAACACAGCGTCAAATGCGCAGTGACTCAGATCGGCATTTCTCTTTCTTTAATTTGGAAAGTCATCAAATTCAATTAGGGGAGCCATGCTACGGCACGAATGGGTCGGACTGGAGCGATACCACGACCTCACAGAAAACCGGCGTGAAACAACCACAGCGTTGTGTTTCGCCGTGTGAGTGAGGTTACCGGAGTCCCAATCCTTCCCCTTCCCCAATCCCGCCCCAGTCCCTAAAAGATCGGCAACGCACTCGTAACTCCTTCGTTTGAGTGTCCATGAGCAACGCTGATTGTTTATCATCAGGCAATCCGATAAAAACATAAAAAAAATCGTTTCTCCCACCCTGGATAAGACAAGGTAGTTTCAAATTGACTGACTCGACCCTCCACAGGAGACTTCACTTCTCTCTCGTGCTACACCAAGTCTGGGTGTGAGAAGTCCACCACCACAAATCGTTTTCCTGGTGCTACTCAGGCTAAGTTTGAGGTGCACGAATTCATTTTAACATTCTTTTTCATACAACATTTGTGGTCGGTTCCAAAAGAACAGTACAGGTTTATTCCCAACGAATTGAACATGCGGTAACGAAACAAATTCGTAAATAATAATAAAATAATAATTAGAACATCAATTAAAATTTTAAGCATACAAAATCGATTCCTCAATTCGCATACAATTTCATGGTTACTTAACTTAACAAAACTTAGTTCAAGGAAGGCATTACAAATAGGCTCTTCTAATATTTGTACCGATCGGGAATCGATCTCGCAACCAAGCCAATAAAACAGTCACAAGGGACGGAATACTGTCAATTAGTTAAGTTTAGTAACCGCTAACCACAGTAAAACTCAAGGGACCCGTTAAACTGTGACGTCACTGCTACAGTTGCTACGAAGTCGTAGTTATATTCGTAGCTCGCTACGAAGCGTAGCAATTCGAATTCATCTTAAGAATTGAAGTTTAAAGTGTTTTAAACTCTGTTAAGGACTCTAGAACTTGAAAAATTGTGGAGTTATATAGTACTTATAGAAAAACTATTGAAACCAAGTTTCAGCTTTAATGTGATTAGCTGAGGTTGCGGATTCAAGCCCAATAATGTACAGTCAGGGGTCAAAAATGCAATTATCCAAAATATCTTTGTAGAATAGAGTCAATGGTTGAGGACTGCTTTAATTTATAGCATAGAATCTAAGTTATTAAATAAACTGTAAACTGTAATAGTTTGGAGATAATGCAA